TGCTGGGGGATTGAACCGCGGTCCCTGTGTTTTTGCTTAGCTTAGCTTGTGCTAAGTAGGTGCTTTAGACCACTGAGCCATCTCACCAGCCCCCAGAGTTAAATTATTTATGCCTGACTATTAAAATAGTGTGTTTTGAATTTAAGTTTTGTTTTTTGTTTGTTTGGTTTTTTGTGTCGGGGATTGAACTCAAGACCTTGCACTTGCCAGGAAGGCACTTAAGCCACTGAGCTATCTGTCCAGCCCAAAATAGTGTGTTTTGAATATGGAGTCTACAGCTAGCAGCCATATTGTAAAATTCCTGTGTCTTTTCAAAGTTTACATGCAAAATAATTTTTGTAAATGTATTTATTTGCTCTAGTAAGTTATATCTATATCAAACTTGTCTGTATGTTAAATTTGTGAGAGGCTTAAAAACTTAGCACATGTATAACTATATACTTCAGTTTTTGTAAATGCAAACTGACTTTTCTTCCCTCCCCCATATGTCTATGTATGTTTGTATATGTATGAATTTAAGAGAAAGGGCTGTTGTCATTAGTTAGCCTCTGGGGGTGGGAATGAGAAAGGAAAATATAAAAGTGAAAATGTTGTAAAGTGGAAAAAACTTGTGTTACTGTTAAATGAAAATAGACTATGAAATGTTATATGTAATGTTATTGTAATATATGAAAGTTATGCACTTAGACAAGAAAAAAGATAAAAGCATTGATTTCATGAGTTGGCGGGATTATGGAATTCTGTATTTCTTTTTTAACATTTTTAAATAAAATAATTGCAAAAGATTGATTATTCTTTGAACTTTTTTGGTCAAGTATATTAATTAAAAATATGGTGGTTCATACGAATATATTTGTAATTCATATGTACACAATGTAAATCATCTGCATTAAAAATGCTTTGACTTCTTGTTGAGTCTGTTCGAAGATGCCATTCTGGTATTGACAAGGTCCTGAGGAGTTTTCACTGTAGTTCCCATCTATAACTACATGAGGCAGTTAGAAATAATGATAATA